GGATGGCTTGAGAAAGGGACTGGGCTTGCCTCAACCCTGTGTCGTCGTCCTCTAAACTACATCCTGTGCTTGGAGACACCATGTAAAAAGTCTCTCTGTTTTCTAGGTGGTGAGAGAAGCATGTCTGGTCACTCTGGGCCAGGTCACATGATGAACCGGGGAGGGATGTCAGGGTAAGGTATTCTGTCTCTCCTTACCAGTCTCTTTGCACATTGACTTGCCTTGGGGAAGGTTTAGAAACAACCAAGTCTCCCAACTTACACTGCTCCTGAAAGTGTGGGTCTGTGCCCTGGTGCTACTACTCAAGAGGGAAGAGTTCCAAAGAACATGTGTCTCAGTGGCACCCAGCAGACCCCAATGAATAGGGTTAGCGAACATGAGCATCTGCATTTGTTCCAGGCGCGGCAGCTTTACCCCAGGGGGGGCCTCACGAGGCCATGTGATCCCACGTGGTGGAATGCAAGGCGGATTTGGCGGCCAGAACCGAGGCAGCCGACCCAATGATGCCCGCTTTACTCGCCGCTACTAAGTGCTTGGAATCCTGTGTTCCGTCACGTGGCAACCAGAGTATGTTCTGTTAGCAAGTTATCTTAAACCGTGTACAATAAATTTTTTTTTATCTGCTGCCATATTGTAGCTCGATACAATGTGAATGTTTTTTGTTTTTTTGTAATAAATGTGTTTCTGTTCACATACCCTTTATTTAAAGCATCATCTCTTTACTTGCACCTCTTTTGAAATTATACTCAGCATTGCTGAGCCACAGCTTTACCTTCAGGGAAGGAGGGCTGAAAGGGGCAGCTTCAAGGGGCTGTTGGGGCTTCCAGCAATCTTGTAGTCCTTAACTGAACAGGCTGCTATTTTGTGTATGATAAAATACACACACCTGAAGCTTACTATGTTAACAGTCATGTTTACATGCACAGTTCAGTTGCATTTAATTTACACTGTCATACAACCATCATCAATATCCAGAATTTATTTCCCAAATGGGATCATTCATCACTAACACCTCATACCACTCCCCCAGTTCCTGAAACCCACTGTCGACCTTTTTTTTTTTTTTTTAATTTTATTTTTAGAGAGGGAAAGGATGGCAGAGAGAAACATCAGTGTGTGGTTACCTTTTGCGTACCCTGTACTAGGGACCTGGCCCACAACTCAGGCATGTGCCCTGACTGGGAATCAGACCAGCAACCCTGAGCTACACCAGCCAGGGCCCACCACATAGTTTTGTCTCTGGATCTAGGTCCAGGGACCTCACATGAGTAGAGTGAGGACAAGTTAACAATAAAGTGGGGAGCTGAGGGAAGCCAAGCTGTTGAATACCAGAAGTGATGAACTGCTCGGGGAGGGACGGGCCTGAGTATGAAAGCTGAGTCTCCAGGACAGTGTGTGGCAGGTGTGTTCAGTGACCAAGTGCCTGGAATCAGGGATTTGCATCCTGGCAGTTCTCTCGCAGCTTCAGCCTCAAAGGGACATGTCCCATCCCCTCAGCCAACTGGGACCAGCTGTGTTCCTTCTGTCAGAGACCAACCCACTGATCCTGAAAGTGAATCGAGTCTGGGGGCCAAATTCTGCCTTCACATCCTGCCCTGGGGCAAGTTCCTGCAGTTCTAAGCCTCCATTTGCTTCCCTGGGGCAAGTTCCTGCAGTTCTAAGCCTCCATTTGCTTCCCTATAAAACAGTGCTACTGGGTTTTGTTTTTTTTCCTTTTTAATTTATTTATCTTTAGATAGGAAGGGAAGGAGAGAAACATCAATGTATGGTTGCCTCTCATGAGTCCCCTGCTGGGAACTGGCCTGCAACCTAGGCATGTGCCCTGACTGGGAATCGAACCGCGAACGTGTGGTTCGCAGGCCCGCGCTCAATCCACTGAGCTACACCAGCCAGGGCTTACTGGGTTTCTTCAAAAGGTGCCATTGTAGGCTGTGTCCCACGTTCTCCCTGCCCCACCCCGCCCCAGCTAAACAAATATCCTAATTCTCTGAAAGCCACAGAACAGCTCCCAAGTTCTAGTCCACCAGGATCCCTGTTGATCATAACTTAACAGGGCCACAAAGGGGAACCATATAGCTTATCTGTTTGGTATCACCTTGTACTTTCAGATTTAATGAAAGCTGGCTTGGCCCTGAGCAACCTATGGAAAGAGCCCAGGTTTCTGCAGCCCATGTAACCCTGAGGTGGACAGCACAAATGACCAGTGTCGGGCAATCCTTGGGGCTCTGTCTCTCAGGCAACTCTGGTTCAGCAGGGCTCCCCATCCCTCTTTGCCAATCTAGCACAGTCCCACCAGGCCAGGGGTGAGCAACACGAACTCTAGTGGCAGATGGGATTGGCTGTGATAATGGAGGAAGGGCCCACAAGCTGAAGAATGCAGGAGCCTCTAGAAGCTGGAAAAAAACAGGTAACGTTCTCCCCTGGAGCCTCTGACAGGAGCCAGTTCTGCTGCCACCTGGACTTCAGCCCACTGAGACCTGTGTTGGGCTCCTGACCACCAGAACTGTGAGAAGCAATTTGTTTCAACAGGGCACTGACCCTGTAGTCATCTGTGCTGCAGCCAGAGCATTCCTACCAACACCCAAGGTAGTTCTCAACTAGGGTGATTCTGTCCCCAGAAGATACCTGGCAGCACTTGGGAGACATGTGGCAGTCGTGTCTGGGGAGTAAGGGGATGCTACTGGCCTTTGGGATGGAGGCAGGGATGCTGCCTGACGTCCACAGGGGCCAGGATGCCCCTTGCCAAAGATCTGCATGGTCTCAAATGTCAGCAATGCTGTGAGGAAATCCTGCCCTGATGCAGTGGGTGCCAAGGAGGCCCAGGGTGGACATGTAACTCCTGGGGGTTGTAGGAAAGGGTCAGAGGAAGCAACGTCTGTGCTGTGGGCAGGAGTCAGCCAGGAGGAAGAGTAGAGGCCTGGTGAGGAGTCCACGAGTTGTAGGCAAAGGCTGGTGGTGGAAACCAGCTGTTTCGGGAACTGAGGGCCAACCAGGTCTCTGAGGGACCTAGGGGAGTAAGAGGAGGGCCCCTCTGAGGAATCTGGACTCAGAGGGAAAGCAGTGGGAAGCCACAGGAGGTTTCCGAGCAGGGTGGTGATATGATCAGACTTAGACTTTGGAAACAGATTGGTGGGAGCCAGCCTGGAGGTGAGGAGACCAGAGGTACTCTTAGCACTGGCAATACCAGTAGGGGCCTGACCAGGTGAGGCGATGGAGGGGTCAAGAGTGGCATTCAGATCGGACTGGTGGCTGGGCCCATACAGTCATGTTTAGAGAGCAGTCACGAATAGAGGCTGACCCTGGGCCCAGCTTGTGGGCATTGACTCAGTCCCAGGGACCAGAGACTAGGGCTTGGGTTCAGTTTTAGGGGATCCCCTCATACCCCCCCCCCCACACACACACACAGGAGGCCAAGTTCAGGGAGTTGGAGGACGCAGCTTCCTGGAGGTGAGGGGGCCGGAGGGCTAAAAATGTCCCCAGACAGCCCCTCAAAGACCTACAAAGGCTGGTTTCCTTTCCTGCAGGTTTGCTAGACCGATAATGGGCCTTTAACACTGTTCAAGAGCCTGGTGGGGTGGCCTTGACAGGTATCTCCCCACTCCATAAAATAATGATGATAACAGGAGGATCGTGAGCACTCATGGAGCCTGGTGGGGCACATGACCCAGCCAGAGTGCAAATCCCTCTGATATGTAAAGATCTGAGATCAGGTCTGCAGGGGTGAAGCAAATGAAAATCCTGTGTCCCAGGCAGGGTTTAAGGTTAATCATCTGGGCTCCTGGTGGACAGCAGGCTTTAAACCTGGCCATGCAAGTGTCTCCACCTGTAAAATGGGCACATGAGGCTGCTGGAAGGGGCTCAGTGGGTAGAGAGCCAGGCTGAGAGGGCCTGAACCCGGGCCACACTCCTGGCCTAAGAGATAGCAAGCAGCGGCACTAGCTCCAGCTCCTTGGGCAGCACCAAGGATAAGGGACACTCCCTGGCCTTGCTCATCCTGGAGACCATGATGGCACAGGTCACGTGGGCTCTCCCTCCCAATACCCTAGGCCAGGCCACCTATCCTCAGCTACACCCTTCCCTATTTGTCACCAGGTGGATGAACGCTTGCCAGCTTTTCTGGGAAATGCCCTAGGTCTCTGCTTACCTTACACATGAACACCTGTTATCATGGGCCTGTGTGAGCTCTATCCCCTAAACTGAAGGACACACAGCTCAGAACTCTTGGGAACAGGATTCCATGCTGGCCTGGAGCACCATGCTGGGGTCTGCTCCTTGCTCCCAGGGCAGCCTCCTGGGCCAGACTCTGGCTCCGACCTACGCTCACCTCTCACCCTGGCTGACTGGGGCACAGGTTCCCTTCTAGTACCACGTGGAATTCCCTCAACAATGGGGAGGCCTGGAGCACCTAGAGTCAGCCCACCCTCCCAGAGCTCCATCCCAAAGGGGCAGCACACACATTCAGGTCACTAGGCAGCTGATCCAGTATGGGATAGGGGTGTCAGGAAAGGCTTCTGAAGAGAGCAGAGAACCTCTGGAAGATGAAGTTGGGAGCACAAGACATTTGTGGGCTGGACAGATCCCCACATGGCAATGACCTCCAGTCCTGTGCTCCCCATATTACCAGATTTTGGGGGCAAGCAGAATGAGAATGGAGACCAGGTAAGGTTGGGTGTGTAGAAGGAACAGGAGAAATATTTCCCATCTCACTGAGCCCTGGCTCCCGACTGTCCTATCCTAGGCTCAGCCCTCCAAGCTCCACAACCCCCCACCCAGGTTGGCCTTCAGCACTTTCTCCACCCTTTCCCAGGGCCCAGAGCACTGCCAACTGTCTGCTCCCACTTCCCATACAGAGTGAGGGCCCCAGCAGGCAGGAGCCAGACAGAAAAAGTGTGAGCCACTATCAGGCCCTAAGGCACTCCCAGGAGCCAGAAGCCCAGGCCCACATGCTCTGAGAGCCAGCCGGGCCACCCATGTCCCTGGGTCCAGCACATGGGTCGGGGAACACTTCCAAAGTCCTTTATTGGGCCAGTTAAGCCAGGAGCTGCCTTGGAGTGGGGTCCCACCCTGGAGGCTTGAAGTCCAGGGCACCCCTAACCCCTGTTCCTGACAGGGGAGGCAGCCTCCTCTGAGAGGCTACTTGATTCGTTCCTTCAGGTATTCCCAGCCATCCTTGGTGTATTCACAGGCCTTGGAAGGGGCCACCGACAAGGCCGACATCATGGTAATAATGCCTGTGGGGAGGGAGGAAGAGGGCCCAGTACCTGGTGAGGCTCCCCACCTAGAGCTAAGGGGTTTAGTCCAACCCCCAGGGACACCTAAATTAGCCATGCTTTTAGAGGTGCCACTTCCAGCTGTCAACTTCACACAGGGAAACTGAGGCAAGAGGGGCAGGGCCTCACCTTGTCTGAGGCCACCTGACTCAGATGTGTTCAGATTTGACCCAAACTCTCAAAATGAGAGCTTCCATCTTGTGCCCACTTCCCTGGAACCTCTACCCCTTCTCTTTTAGATGGGGCAGAGGCACACAGGGCAGCAAGAGGAGCGAAGGACAGGCATGGCCAGGAGGCAGGACTGAGGATGCTAGACTGGGGGACCTGGAGCCACCCACCCCCCCCCCCCCAAGTAGAGGGACCAGGCCTACCTGAATTCCAGGACTCACGGATGTGAAAGTTAAACTTTGGAGGGGCTGGGAGCTGGGAAGAGACAGGGAAGAAGGGGGTTGCTGGTGAAAGGGGAACGCCCTGGCAGCCCCAACCCCCCTCCAGAGGCAGGGAGAGCTGCACATGCCCCAGTGTGGAGGACAACCAGCAGGGCTGGAGGGACCAGGGACTGAAAGCCACCCCAAAGTTGGCTCCCACCAAGCCGCAGCCTCACTCCCAGCATGGGGTGGGTACCTGGGGTATCTTCAGGCCCGTCTGCTCACTCACGTACTGGCTGAACTGGTATATGGCAGGGGGGACCACCTTCTCCGCCTTCTGAAGGACCGCCTGGCTCTTGCTGCCGGGTCCCAGCAGCTCCTGGTCATACACCAAATAGACCACTCCCCCAGCCACACTCCCCTTGACGAGAAACCTGTATGCAGAGAAGGGAATGACAGCAGCTCAGGAGACACTGCTGGCCACTCTCAGGGCTCTAGGCTCATGGGAGGAGGAGTTAGACCGCCCAGGGAGCCCCACAATTCAAAGAGTGACACAGCTGAAGACAGGCGGCCACCGGGAACGGAAGAGCACTTGCCAACCCGGAGACATGCCTGATCCCTACTAGGCAAAGCACTCCGTTTACAGTGCGCAAAGCAGTACTCCGCCCCATTCAAATGGGGAACTGAGGCCCGCAGAATGACAGTGGGTCACTGGCGTGATTCCTCACAAAGCAGGGAACAGCGCGGAGCCGGGGACGGACCCTCCGCGAGCAAACCGCGAGGGTTTTCTAAGTGCGTTTGTCTGAGGGCTTCCTAAATGTCCTACGCTGCTCTGGGCGCGTAGGACATTTACCAACCCCCAAAAATGGCGTGGGACACTTCCACTTTGCTGAGAATGCAACTGAGGCTCGGAGAGATTTCATATTCCGACTGTCGGAAGGCAAAAGGCTAGCGCGACCTCGGGAATCACCTCTCCGCTTGAAACTGTCTCCCCTTGTGGACCATAGGACACCTGACACTACGGGAAACGAACAGCAGGTCGTGAGCAAACTAAAAGACGGTGTCCGCGGGAGAGGGACTTTCTGGGGGCTCCGGGCACGCCCGCCGGCCACACGTACCTCATCACCGACCACACTCGGGAAACCATAGTCTCTCGACTCGGCGCGCAAGGACACTCGGCTCGGCGGCCGCTTCCGGTTGCGGCGCCGCAGAGGCCCTTGGGAAGTGTACTTCTCCCCGTCAGCCGCAAAGGCTTCCGGGAGTCGGAGTCTTGGTTCCGCTTAAAAATGCCAGACACTGCAATCCCACCACGAAAGAACGGTGGGATGCGAAATTAACCATTTGGAACAGGCCGCCTCAAAGGTATCAGAGAAATGTCGGCACCGCCCGGTGAGGCGGGTACAGCTCGCCTCACCGCCAAGCCTGCAGGGAAATGTAGTCCCTCCTTGGCGGTGTGAAAGAAAAGCCGGGTGTCTAGAGTGAGTCCTGAGGGTGACCCAAGAAGTCGAAGTCCAGGGAATCCACCCGCGCCCGCGCTGGGGACTCACCGCATGGGCCTTAGAAGAGTGTGCCTAGAATCTAGTTGTCACGGCAACACGAGGGCGGACTTGGAGGGAGGTGGGTCTAAGTCACGTGATCGGGTTCGAAGGGTGGGTGGTTTTTCCTTTCGGGAGCTGAGCCAGGACTTCCGCTGCGAGCAGAAGGTCCAAGCTGGAGGCCGTTGCCTGGCAACGTGCGCTCTCAGTCGCTGCGGCTGAGCCCTCTCTTTGGAGAGGCAGGCTCTTAGTCACGTGACTCGGGCCCTGAAGAAGGAGGCGTGGTCGGGGTCCCTGCCCCTTTCTGCGGCAAAGGTACGCCCGACTATTGTGCCCGTCGCTCCCAGGTGGGTACCCCAACCCCGGTGGACGGCGGGAAAAAACCTGAGGCCCGGGTGAGTGAGTGAACGGCTCGGGAGCACGGGGTGGGTCACACTCCCCCTTTGCCCAGATGGAAAACAGGCCAGGCGAGGTCAGTGGATTCTGCGAAGATCTGCTTTTACCTGTTTCTTCCCCTTCACAGCCCAGCTGCTCCATCCGTCCATTCTTCCTCCCGCCTAATCAGCCATCTATCCATTCATCCAACTCCGCCTTCCCTTGTGGGGCTGCTGTGTTTAAGGCAAGAGGTGGAAGGGGTTGAGCCGGGGAGCTTCACGGGATCTCTCCGGAAATGAAAGAGGTGGGGTTGCGTTCCCTGCTAAGAGAATGGCTGGTGTGACTGGGAACAGGGCAAGAAGTTAACTTTTCTGGTAACTGATAGACAGGAGATAGACAGGAGTTGCAGAAGATGGGGATGGGCAGGTGGGCAGAGGCCAGATCCTGTGGGCCTTGTGGGCTGTGAGGAGCTTAGTCTCCAACCGCGGCCGTGGCGGGCCCTTGGGAATGGGCAGGAAAGGGCATGCCAGCTTTCTTTTGACAAAGATCACTTTGGCTGCATAGATAGGACAGAGTGGGAGGAAGGGAGTGGGAAGGTGGGGAGCCTGGGAGAAGGCAACTGGAACCTTCTTGTGGGGCAAAGGATATAGGGCTGGATCTAGAGATTGGTGATGTGGGGACTCCCCAGTCGTACCACGTCTCAGCCGCCTGGGTCCTAGAAGTCCCCTCTCCTCTTTGTCCCACTGAGTCCAGAGGATAGAAAGATGTGATAGGCCTCTGCCCTTTTCAAGGGAGACCCGTGACTCTCCAGACGTTAAGCACTCAGCCTGTATCTCTCTTTTGCCTTCTCCCTGGAACAAGTGAATCCCTCCCACAGCTGAAGTCATATCTTTTTTTTTTTAACTTTTTAAAATTTATTTATCTTTAGAGGGGAAGGGAAGGAGAGAGGGGGAGAAGTATCAGTGTATGGTTGTCTCTCATGCGTCCCCTGCTGGGAACTGGCCTGTAGGGAACCGGCCTGCAACCCCAGTGTGTGCCCTGACTGGGAATCGAACCGTGATCCTTTGGGTCATAGGCCCACACTCGATCCACAGAGCTGTGCCAGCCAGGACTTGAAGTCATATCTTAACCCTCAAGACATGGGACTTTTTGATTACTCCTGGGCCTCTCCAGACAGAATGGTCTTTCTGGGCTCCCCCAGCTCTCTTGCCTGCCATATTCTTGTGTCAATCTAATATCTGCCGAGCACCTGGCACAGTTTGGGGAGCTGAAGACCTAATGGGGAAAAAAAACCTGGGCCCTGGCTGGTGTAGCTCAGTGGATTGAGCACAGGCCTGGGAACTAGGGTATTCCCGGTTCAGTTCCCAGTCAGGACACATGCCTGGGTTGCAGGCCAGGTCCCCCTGGGGGGGTGGTGCACAAGAGGCAACCACACATTGATGTTTCGCTCCTCTTTCTTCCTGTCTTCCCCTCTCTCTAAAAACAAATAAATAAAATACTAAAAAAAAAAAAAGAAAAGGAAAAAACCTGGAAGTTTTTGTTTTCTTCCTGCCAGTCTAGGGGAAGTGAGGGACAGTGAACATGAAACAAATCATCAAGGTGATTTCAGGTGATGTTAAGTGCTGAGAAAGAGATAAAAGTTCTAGAGGTAAGGGAGAGGGAGGGACTAGGAAGGGAGGGAAGTGCTTTAGAAAAAGAGGCCAGGGAAGCACTCTGGAAGGAAGTAATTTTTGTACTGAGACTGGAAAGAAGTGAAAGCAAACCATTGGATTTAATTTGCAGAGAGCATTTTGGGCAGAGGGAACAGCCAGTGCAAAGGCCCCGAGGCAGATGGTGACTGGCTGGTTCTGAGGAACAGCATAGAGGCTGGTGTGGCAAATAGCAGAGTGAGCAAGAGGACCATTTGGGCCATCAAGGAGTGTGGCTTTTGTCCTAAATATCAAGGAGGATTTTCAGCAGGGAGAGGTAAGATGTGATTCTGGTGTTTCCTGGAGGGAGAAAGCTCCCGAGATTGGTACAGTGGTTCAGGTAACCTGGACCAGGTGGTGGCTGTGGAGATGGAGGACAGGGGCCAGTCCCGGGGCCAGGAGGATCTGCTTTGAACAAAGGTGCAGTTGGGGAAACAGGTGTGGCTGTGGGCCAGGCCTGTGCCGGCCACCCCCTCTCTCACCACAGACTCAAGAAGGGACATGAAGGTGCTGCTCCTCACTGGCCTGGGAGCCCTGTTCTTCACCTACTACTGGGCTGACAACTTCGACCCAGGTGAGTGCCTGGAGTGGAACAGGGAGGAACCAGGCCAGCTGTCCTGTGCATCCCGTAGGCTGACCACCCCTGCTCACTGCCAGCTAGCCTCCAGGGAGCCCGGGTGCTGCTGACAGGGGCCAGTGCAGGCGTTGGGGAGGAGCTGGCATATCACTATGCCCGTCTGGGCTCCCACCTGGTGCTCACTGCGCACACTGAGGCTCTTCTGCAAAAGGTGAGACATGTATTTCAAGTTTAATATTGGGGGCAGGAGTCGGGTGGAAAATGGGGCCTGAGTTTGAATCCCCGCAAAGATCCAGGCTTCCTGTGTGAATTTGGGCAAGTTACTTAACCTCCCTGAGCCCTAATTTCCTCATTTACAAAATAGAGACATTAAAAGCACCTCCTTGTGAGTTATGGTTTTGGGTAAATGCGGTAAGACAGAGTGTAAAGCAGGGAGTGTTTCTCAATAAATGGAAGTGTTGGTAGTGTCCAAAGCCTCTGACAATAGTCAGAGTTCTCAAACTCAAAAGGTTGGTGGGTGGACAGACACTTCTTAGCAAGAGAATGTTCCAAGGAAATGTACGGCTCTTCCAGAATTTCAAGAGGGGCCAGAAACCTTGAGGTTTATTTGAAATCCTAAGTTTCAAATGTTGATAATTGAGCAAATTATATTCTGGTCCATGGGCTGCCGGTTTGCAACCTTAGAGGTAAAGCTTTGGGAACAGAACAAGAGGCTCAGAGTAGGGAGGAAGCCACCTGGGGTGGAGGGGCCCACGGGCAGCTCTGGCCCCCCAGGTGGTAGGGAACTGCCGGAAGCTGGGCGCTCCCAAGGTCTTCTACATTGCTGCGGACATGGCCTCCCCTGAGGTGCCGGAGCGCGTGGTGCAGTTTGCGCTGGACAAGCTGGGTGAGGGGCGGGGTCTGGAGTCTGGGACCTTGGCCTAGGCCTTAGGGGCAGGACCGGAGTAGGCGTGGGAGTGTGGTAGTAACAGTAACGGGTGTCCGTGGGAGGAGATTTATAAGGTTCTGAGGCATAACTAGGGGTAAACCCTCATTGCATCCAAGGGGGCCTTTTGGATTAGGGACAAGCCTAGCAGGATCCAGGGAGCAGGGCGGGGTCTCTTTAACAGGGTAGGGTAGGGGGCGCTACCTAGGGTGGAGCTGGTTGGGTCAGTGCTCTGGGGAGAGTTTGCCAGTTTAAGGAGTGGGGCTATGGAGGGGCTCAGGGCCGGAGCCTCAAGGACTACCTCCTAGCTGATGAACCTCTCCTGGACAGGTGGGCTGGACTACCTCGTGCTGAACCACCTTGGTGCTGCCCCAGCAGGCACACAGGCCCTCAGTGCCCAGGGGACAAGCTGGCTCATGCAGGTCCTCTGCCCCTTCTATCCCCAGGTCCCACTTATAAAGTTGCTAGGTTTCACCGTCTCTCGACTTTGGCGCCTCACACCAGCCTGTACTCCAGCCCTCTCTGGCCAGCATCTACCCTCTCCCCATTCCTCTTCGGTCCCTTGCCCCAGACCCCGCCCCTCCTGGTTCTAGGCTCTACCCTCTCTATGCCTTGGTTCTGCCCCTGGGCTTGACCTCCAGCACCTCCATCCAAGACAACGCCCCAGTCCTCCAGCCTGCCCGTCCCCAACCAGACCCGCCCCTTGCCCCCACTTTCTTGGCTTGGGTTGTCTGCTGCTTCACTCACAGTCACCGCCTCCAGGTGAACTTCCTGAGTTATGTGCAACTGACTTCGTTGGCGCTGCCCAGTCTGACGGACAGCAAGGGCTCCCTGGTGGTGGTGTCCTCGCTGCTCGGTGCGTGCACCTGGGGCAGGGAGCGGAAGGCCACAGGCCTGATGCAGGAGAGCCGGGATGGGGCAGGAAGGTTTCCTCGAGATAGGGAAGCAGGGTGAGGCAGCTCGCCACTGCTTTCCTGCACCCCCAGGCCGCGTGCCCACGTCCTTCTCTAGCCCCTATTCAGCAGCTAAGTTCGCACTGGACAGTTTCTTCGGCTCCCTGCGGCGAGAGCTGGACGTGCAGGACGTGAATGTGGCCATCACCATGTGCATCCTGGGCCTCCAGGATCGTGCCTCAGTTGCCGAGGGAGTCAGGTAAGGCGGGGGACGCAAACTGGGGGTTGTGGGGAGCTACCCAACAACTGCAGTCCTCACTCCGTCTTTCTGTCCGCAGGGGTGTCACAAGGGCCAAATCGGCCCTGGGACCCAAGGCAGCCTTAGCTGTGATTCGCGGCAGTGCCACGCGCACCTCCTGCGTCTTCTACCCCTGGCGCTTCCACGTGCTCTGCCTGCTTCGGGCCTGGCTGCCTCACCCAAAAGCCTGGTTCATCCGTGAGGAGCTCAATGTCTCTGTCACTGCTGCTGCCTGAGCTGGAGGTGGAGCCGGTTCATCTTCTCAGAGGGGGACCCTTCATCTAGCCATCCTGAAGGAGGGACACAAAAATCACACCTCTGGGAGGGTGGCCATAGCTGAAGGTAGTGTCATCCAGACAAAAAGGGAAAACCTAGAAAAACTACCAGCACCTGGAAACAATGAAATCTGTCCGTGTGAGAGCAGCTTCTGTGTGGCACTACCTTGTCAGGGACGGGGAAGGCACTACCTCAGTCTTGGTTGTCATCGTTGATGTGATCACCGCTTCCGTTTCGCAGATGGGGAAGCTAAGGCTCAGAGAGGTGATGTGGCGAGTCAGCCCTAGGCCCTGGCCACTTCAAACAGGGCACACCAGCTACTGAGCCACCCTTGGACACTTCTCTGCCTCCCACCCAGAACCACCTGATTTGTCCCTCCATTCACTCAGTCTGGGAGTATCACCCAACCCTTGTGTCCCCAAGCAAGGGAGCACCACAAAGCTATCTACTGAGTGGTGGGGTCTGAGGAGGGGGAGGAGGAAAAGAATATGTTCTGTGCTGGACCCAGCTTCCCTTTTCATAATAAAAATCCTTTTTCTTTTGCACATCCATTCAAATTTCTTGGTCCTTCCAATTTGCTGGCAGCGGGCAGGGAAGAGGGGATGTGTGTACTAGAACTCTCAACCCCATTTCACAGTTGGAGAAACAGGCTGGGAGAGGTGGACTCACCTAGGAAGTCAGAGACAAAGAGTACTGAATGGGAACCAAAGGCTTCATTTGCTGCACAAGTTACATGGTTTGTGCACCAATTATGATAACATGCATCAGACACTACACACTTAACATTAGGATTGAAAGATAAAGGATACCCTGGGCTGGTGTAGCTCAGTGGATTGAGCACGAGCTTGCAAACCAAAGGGTTGCTGGTTTGATTCCCAGTCTAGAGCACATCCTGGGGTGTGGGCCAGGTCCCCCAGTAGAGGACCTCTCGGACATTAATGTTTCTCTCCGTCTTTTTCCTTCCCTTCCCCTCTCTCTAAAAATAAATAAATGAAATCTTAAAAAAAAAAGATAAACAAAAAAAAGACTTCTTTGTTCCCATCATGCCTCTTGTCTCTACTATCTAAAATTAAATCCAGCCCTGGCTGGTGTAGCTCAGTGGATTGAGCGTGGGCCTGCGAACAAGACGATCTCAGTTCAATTCCCCATCAGGGCACATGCCTGGGTTACAGGCCAGTTCCCAGCAAGGGATGCATGAGAGGCAACCATACACTGATGTTTCTCTCCCTCTCTCCTTCCCTTCCCCTCTAAAGATAAATAAAATCTTAAAAATAAATAAAATTAAATCCAATTATATTAGATGCCACCAGCAGGCAATGTACCGCATCACTTTCCTCAGCCCTAACTCAGAACTTGGCCTCGTATAAAATACCTTTGTTTAAAAAAATTAAGTTTGTCACTTCTTGGCCTTTTGTCTAAAATCAAGTGTAGTGTCTGTTCATATCAGTTTAATATATGGTACGTCCTCTATCTCAGGACATTATATTAAATAGATTTTTGGAGCTGGGAGATAGAATAGGAGCTTGCTCTGTCCACTCTGCGCATCGACCCGGTATTGGAGTGCTTATGGGAATGGTGCACACGCACACACAAAAATAATTTAAAAATAAAAAGTAAAGTACTTATGGAAGTTTTATTTTGTGCCAGGTACCATTACATCTTGTTCAAACGGTTTGGCATATGTCCTATTATTGTCTTCACTTTATAAATGGAGAAATTCAGGTATTGGGAGGTGAAGTCTCTGGCGCCAGCTAGTGGCTGAGGTGGGATTTTACCCAGCAGAGGTGAAATTAGAACTTTCCAAACATCGGAATAGGGAGGCACCTCAGCCACAGGCACGCCCACAACTCCCGACTCCTCCCCAGGGTCCGTGGAGGTAAACGCGCTAGTTCAGCGTGACCGCAGAGAATCCTCCAACCGACAGAGGGTGCTCGCAAGCGCTAATGCCTCTCTGGCCCGCACAACCCGCGAGGAATAGGTATTCCCAGAGTTCCGCGCGGTTCTTGCTCTTCCGCCGCGGCCCCATTGAGGAACGGCAGGTTAGTGAGTTCTGGAGCGGGCTGGATCCGCCGTCATCTGGACCCTGGGAATCTTGGTGCTCCTCGGGGAGATGGCTGGGTGTAGCAAGCCAGTGCGGGGGAGCCGGGACCCGGGGTGTCGGGCGGCGATGGCCGAGCCGGGGCTGATCTCTACCCCCTCTCTCCATCCCTGTCCGCAGCCATGGCTCTCCGCTACCCCATGGCCGTGGGCCTCAACAAGGGCCATAAAGTAACAAAGAACGTGAGCAAGCCGAGGCACAGCCGACGCCGCGGGGTGAGTTCCCGGGGCACGCGCGTGGGGGCTTCTGGGAGGGAGGTGGAAAGGGCGTTGTAGGAGGAGGGCACGGTCAGAGCCAAGGCTCCAGGCTACCGAGGACAGTGGGGAACCCTGTGGAAGGCAGAGAGGAAGAAAGGGCGTCAGGCTGGACAGAGCAGTGAGTGAAATGTAGTTCGTCCCAGCGGCAAGCGCCCGTCTGGATCGTGCACCTGGACAGTCCCGCCTGAGGGGTGGAAGCTAGTGCAGGTGGAGCGAGTTTGGGTTACGTGCGTAGGAGTTTGCCCAATAGAACAGGAGTTGGGTCGAGGTTGGAATGCAGAAAGTTGATTCTTTTGACCTTTAGGCGGTCAGGACTTACGGGTTACTTCTATGTAAAAGGTCCAGACCTGTCGAGAATTTTCACGTTTATTCGAACCAACTTGACATTTGCTTGGAAGCAAGATCTAAAAATGTTTCCAGAGGTGAACACGTTGCCATTTCTTTAATGCGTTTCAAATTGAGGAAATTTAAGGGAGAAAGTAAGACTAGTTAAGATTACCTGTGCCCTCGAGGGTGGTCGCACCTTCTAAGCGTTTCAAAGATTTATTAACCTACATGCATAAGGTCAGTGGGCAGGGTTGGCTCAAAAACCTTTCATCAAAGGAGTTACAGGCCTGGATCGTGACTACCCACAATGACTTGCCCGGTGAAGAATTTATGGTTACGGCACCTTCATTAAGTAGCCCCAACACCAGGGTGGAAGCCTGTGTCGAATGGGAAAGAACGACAGGCTCAGGGAACAGCCAGTGCAAAGAGCCAGGCATTACGTGCTCTGTTGTTGGCACTGGGGGCATGAGGAGGAGTCCTACTTCCATTGCACCGGGCACAGTCAAAACGCTCCAGCTGGAGGCCCAGGTGGGACCCTAAGCGGTCTGGCCTTGGGCTCTTCATCCTGATGGCCTCCCTTCACCCCCCAGCGCCTCACCAAGCACACCAAGTTCGTGCGGGACATGATCCGAGAGGTGTGTGGCTTTGCCCCCTACGAGCGGCGTGCCATGGAATTGCTCAAGGTCTCTAAGGACAAGAGGGCCCTGAAGTTCATCAAGAAAAGGGTAGGTGGGCAGTTGTTGGTGGGTGGGAACATAAATCTGTGCCGAGGGTGAGAAGAGGGTTGGGTGCTAGGGACACAGGTGAAGTGGGGGCCCAGGCTGATGGACCTCCTTGCTTGGCAGGTGGGGACACACATCCGTGCCAAGAGGAAGAGAGAGGAGCTAAGCAACGTCCTTGCAGCCATGAGGAAGGCAGCAGCCAAGAAGGACTGAATGAACCCCATGCCCTCTGAGTAATAAAACCTGTTAAGAAATTTGGGGGTCCTGTGGTGGCATTTTGCATCTGGTCCATTGTCCCAGACTTCCTCTGGGACAGTGGTATTGGGGCATGATGGTAGGCATGGAGAGAAGCAACAGACAGCCAGTACTGGAAATAGTCTTTAATCACTATTAAATACTTCATATGCATCAGATTCCATGATTAAATCATAATTGAGGTCCTTGGGTTCCACGCCATTGCTGAGCCTCCAGATGGCTTGACTGTCGGGACCCTTCCCCCCAGTGCAGTTTTCAGCTCAGGGTGGGCCTGTGAGCAGCAGCAGTGCCTGGGCCACCATCACCGCTCCACAGCCAGGGCCTCCGCCTGCTCTTCAGGGAAGGCGATGTCAAAGATCTGGCGGTAGTGGTCCACAAAGTGGACCTCCAGGCCTTCCGTGATGAAAGCTGCGAGGTCATAGAAGTCCTTCTTGTTTTCTGCTGGCAGGATGATGCATGTCACTCCAGCGCGCTTGGCCTGGGATATAGGGGACCTTAGGTCAGTTCAGGAAAGTGCAGTGGCCACTGTGCTCCAGGAGGGGGCAGGCTTGGTGAGGACCCTGTTCACAGCAGCCCTGAGCCAGGCTGCTCCTCACAGGTGAAGGCATTGAGGCCCAAGGAAACTGCACTGGCGGCTGCTGCTGTTGCCGCCAAGTTCTCCCACAGCCCACAGTGCATGGCTCTGCCCTGCCCCCCCTGTCCAACTCAATCACATCACCTACTGCTTTACTGTTTTGAGGTGTGGCACCAGTGCAGTGAGAGCTAAAAAGACATAAATTTGAAAATGTAGGTAACATTTAAAATTTTTCAAGTTTACTGACCATCCTGCCCAAGCTGTACACCAGTTAGAAGGCAGTGGAGGCTCAGGAGACAGTGGGGCTCCTGTAGGAGCTGGACATGTAGGGGATGAAGGGCCTGCTCAGGGCAGACAGGCTTCCCGTGTCCACCAGAGCCCCCCAACCTACACAGCACCTGCGAGGCCAGCCTCCAGCATTTTCTGTACCCACGGATCTCGGTGCCAGGCTAAGTGGAGGATGAGGAAGCTGGAGACCCTTTTACCCTCAAGGAGCCTGCAGAGCCCCACTGAGGAGCTCAGATATGGGCTCTTTCTATGGAAAGACCTAGAACCTTCTCCCAAGTCTTGAAAGGCCTAAACCATTGTGGAGGGGGGCATCTGGAAGAGTTCAACACGGGCTCAGGCCACCTAGCTCTGGGTCCAAATCCCATGCCTGCTCTAAAGTTGGCCATCACCCTTGTTTGTGGTGTGAATGGTGCCTTATCTGTCACGTGACTGCATGGTGTGTGCAGCTGTGGAGGAGCGTGCTTGGGGGTGCAGAGCACTCACAGCAATGGTCTTCTCCTTGATGCCGCCCACTGGCAGGATCTTGCCTGTGAGGGAGACCTCACCCGTCATGGCCAGGTTCTGCCGCACTGGCCTGTCCATGGCCAGCGAGAGCAGGGCTGTGACGATGGTGCAGCCAGCACTGGGGCCGTCCTTGGGGGTGGCGCCCTGGTGAGGAGACCAAGTAGGTGGTGGGCAGGTCTGATGCGAGGCTGCCCTTGCAAGGGGTATACTCGCTGGGGGGTGACCCACCTCAGGCACGTGCAGGTGGATGTGTGAAGTCACCAGGTACTCGTTGGTGGGGTCCTGCTGCATCAGGAAGGCCCTGGCGAAGGTGTAAGCGATGCGGGCACTCTCCTTCATCACCTCCCCCAGCTGGCCTGTCACCTCCAGGCTCCCGTCTTTGTCTGCCTTACTGTCCTCTGGCGGCCGCCTTGGGGACGTCTCAACAAACAGCGTGGAGCCTCCTGGAAGACACCAGCATGTAGGGCCCATGAGCTCGGACTCCCAAGAGAGCCCCTCTCCTCGATGCTGGGCCACCTCAGGGAGTGCCCCTCCACTCTGTCTGCAGCTCTTAATGATTTTAGAGTGAGGAAACATCAGTTTGGTGTATTCATTCATTGGTCAATTCTCCTATGTGCCCTCACCAAGTTTCAAGCCCTCAACCTTGGTGTCATCGAGGTGATTCTCTAACAAACTGAGCTACCTGGCCAGGCCTCTGCAAACCTCCTTGCCCAACCCTCAGCTTAGCACCTTCTCATTCTTCACACGCCAGCGCCCATCCCACCTAAGGGAACCAGAGACGGCCGCTGTGCGCTGGCCCTGTGTTGTGTACCTCCACACAGCCTGCCAGCACCAGACAAATTCTAACACAATGGCTTTAAATATAGCCCAAGGAGGCAAACTTTCTGCCATCCACAGCTCGCTTCCTTTACAGACAACATAAAACTGCACCCAATGACAGAACCACCTCTGGGCTGTAAGACCCCGAACCCCCAGGCTGAGCAATGTCACCTACACAAGTTCCCCCAAGCCCTACCCTGCTCCTGCTGGCTGGCATCCTCAGGTCTCATGCTGTGAGGGGCTCCCACACCAAGCCTGTGAAAGCACCACCTAACTAAAGCTCATGGAGTACACCTGCCACCTTGTGGTCTTGCCTTTCCGGCAGCCCCAATTCCCTTGGCCTCAGTGTGTCACCAGCCAGCCAGAGGGCTGTTCAGAGCAACGAGCTGAAGGCTTAGGTACAGACTCTTCCCAGGGGGCCAAGGAGGGGACATGCTGCACTCACCCATGGCAGTCCAGGCCAGCCCCATGACCACGCCAGGCGGCGTCACATCATACATGCGCTCCACAGTGAACACTGGCTTCCCCACAAAGTCCTGCAGGTTCTCGGGTGTCACCTCCACCGACTCGGCCTCACCACTGACGATCTTGTAGGCGGACTTCCTTAAGACCTGCCATGGGTGCAGGGGTAATGGGCAGCCTGGCCGCAGGCCCCCCCACTCACCCTACCACCACCTCTGTCTACTCTGCTTTAATTTTTAAATTGTGTAAAATGCATGTGACGTAAAAACTGTACCATCGC